TCCAAGAGATCCTGCTGCACATATTAAATATTACAAAGAATTTGGACCAATTACAGAATCACACAACTTTTTTCTCTGTATTGCACATGTATTAAATGGCTTAATATTGCTCTAATTTTTATCGTACTTCGTTTTCTCTTCTTACTTCATTTTTCCCCTTGTGCTGCTGAGTCAATTTTGATCTCATGTTTTATATCTTAAAATACTTCTGCAGTCCCCGTTCTAAACCTTTGAGTTTGAAATGGTCTGTTTATTTGGCCTGTAGTGATGCCAGTTGCACATTTTCTTTATGAAACTGTCATCTGTCATCTGCAGTAACTGAGCTGCAGCGGGACTCAGAACCCATTGTCGTGATCATGCTGTTGTCCCGTCACTTAGACTGATGAGTCCAGGCCAAGCATTGTGCATCAATGATTTGAATTATCAGAACCACTAATGAATGAATTATGATAAAACCTTTGTCCCGACCCAGAGGATGAATCCTGCTCTCTCTGATAATTGCACAACTTTTCCTCTTACCTCTATGAGGTTGACATTTTTCCTTTTCACTTCCATGTGAGCTGCAGTGAATGCCCCTAAGTAGCCTTCTTACAGTGGTTTTTGTGGTTGTACCCCCTGCGGGCGACGTCAGCCACAGGACATGGCGAGGAGGTGGCAGCTGTGAGGAGCTCAAACTGAGCGTTAGCGAGAGCGGGCCTTCGTTTTGAGGGGTCCCAATTCAATCCTTCTGTCTTTCCTTACAATACTTTTTTTGGCGGGAAAGCACCAAAGACGCTTGTTTGACCCAACTTGAGTTTCTTTGCGGGACCCCCTCCCCGAGAAAAGTGTCGCCCGCCTGCACACTCATGCACCATGTCCACCCTGTCTTGATTGATTTTCAGTGCGCATTTTGGAGGGGATTACAGCCATCTGCAGGCTCTTGAGGAACAAAGGGGGCTCGGCGCTCTCCTCCCCTCACTACTTCAGAGGGATAACATGGCCAGATAAACATGCTCTTGCACCACTCCACACTTGTTCTCTATTTTACCTTGACCTCTCAACCCACCCAAACTGCCCACTCCACTTTATGGATGACCACGTTTTTTTTTCTCCCCCTGCCCCCTGAATAGCCATCGCTCCTTACAATCCTTGCAAACAGCTCAACACAGAAAGTTTGTGTCTTACACGACTTTCAGCACCGAGGAGGGTTAAGTAGGAGCGAGGCATGAAGCGTGTGATTTGACTGGCATTTCCCTGGCACAGCGAGTTGTGGTGCGTTCTCGAACCTGAACATTCGGTTTCCATTTGGGAATCATCCGAATCGCCAGCTGTGTGAGGGTGTTATGGGAACCAGAAATTGTCAGCTGGGAGTGTGAGATGCCAGAGCGTGGTCATGTAGTCATGCTCCCTGTCAGCTGGTGCTGAGCTGATGGAGGGGCAGCAGGATGCACAGCCACTGACACTTGGTGGCAGAGAGTTGGATTACCAGCTTTTGTTTATGTGGGAAATAAACCCTGATGAAATGCACAGCTGTTTCTCCATCACTTCTCAGTCCTTACATATATGTAGAAGCTGCAGAGGAATTCCCTCATGTTGTCTTTTCCCTCTGTGGCACTTGTAGGATCTAAAAGCCAAGTGCACCAGATCAACCTAAAGACATTTAGCTTTTCATTTTCTTGCTACATTAGAAAACACAAAAAGCTTTTAAGACAAAGTTTGGATATTTCTTGGAAACCTTGAGTTCGAAACCTGCATAGGCCCAATTTGCAAACTCGCACTTGACCTGCTATCCTTTATTATCTCAGAGACAAATCCAGACCTGTTAACTTAAATGACCCAACCCGTCTCCCGTGATTAAACAAACATACATACACAGTCACTCACATCCACTGAGTCATCATGGCCTCCTTATCCCCCTGTTTTGGTGGTTGAGTCGTGTTCTTGGAAAAGTGTCTGTCAGTTGTAGCTTGTGGCTATCAAACACTAATACACTGTGGAAAAGCTGGTGTTGTGGGCTTTCACAATAAAACAAAATCCTTGCAGTTGACTCATAAAAGCTGATTTGGATGTTAAAAATACTGCACGATCATTTCAATTTCTGATTTCTCCCAAAAACTTTTTTGCAGGTTACCCATTGACCCCGTGCAGGACTCTATATGTTGGTTTGCTATGTCTTGTCCTGATGTGTTTAAAGCACAATTAGAACATTATTCTTGCTCACTCACCTCAGAGGAACAAGATTTCTCGAAATGGAAATCATGAGAAAAGCTTCTGCGATTCAATCATTCAGAGGCTTCGAGTATCGTTTGGCACAAGGTGAGAGATTTGAGATTAGGGTCAAGTGTGTGTCAGAGCCTCCCAACCACTGTTGTTGGTTCCACAACAGTGCAGCACCCAGCAGCTGTGGACCAGGATGTGGGAAAGTTTCTATGATTCACCCATGAAAAGACCAGTTCCAGTGAAGAGAGGAAGAGGGAGAGAGAGAGAGGGGGGCCGGTGGGAGAGAAATCAGACCACAAAACAGGAGTAAGAATAAATTATGAGATTACGTTTATGGAATAAAATGAATGTATGTTCTTGACTTGGTCAACAGTCACCTAACCAGCTGTTGTTGGTGGAAACATAACCTCCTTGGCAGAAGAAACTATTTCCCACAATTTAGCCTGTTTACGACAAGCAGTGCAGTCTGGATCACTATTAAACGTATGATATATCACTGATGCACAATTTGCAGTTGTTACTAGGTTACATAACAAAGAAGACAAAATAAATATAAAGATTCGCAGTTTTCCCTGTATTTTTCCTGCTCTGTCTGTCTGCTGCAGTTACATCTCTGAGGACAAACTGTGACTGAAAGCAGTTAGATCATTTTATTTACAGAAAAAACATTATATTTGTTAATTTTCTTCTTGACGAAATGGTGGATCAGCCCTTACATGTGCATGCTGGATAACAGGGAGATTTGCTGCTGCTGTAAAAACAGGGCCTGTTTGCCATAGGTGGAGTTTTGTTGTGCTGGACTCCAGGGGAGTGTCCAGGAGCACTTTGCCCCTGCTTGTGCTCTCATCTCTGGAGCTTTGTCTCTGGCCGCTTCCCCTCAAACTCCCCCAGGGAGCGACGGAAGTCCACACCCGGCGACTCTCTCCCATCTCTTTGGATTCCACTTTCCTGAGCGTTTCCCGCTTTGCTGCGTCCGAACCTCACCTCAGCCGCACAGTGGGAGAGAATAAAGAGAGGAGTGGGGTGGATGGGTGGAGGGGGATTTATTGTGTGTGCAGCTTTCTGCAGAAACAACAATGAAAATCCCTCAGTGTTGAAGGAGTGCATGCTTGATTACCTGTGTGTAGCATAATCAGTCAATGGATTTCATCACGAAGATTGGTTTTTCAGCTCCTTAAGCAAAAATTCTACAAGTAAAAAGTTCTTTAGAACTTTTTTGTGTTCCCAAAGCCTGGGATTGTTGGTACAATTAAACAGTAATTATTATAATAGCTTAAATTCAGCTTGTGCAAAACAAACTGTGCCACTGTGTCATTGTGGCTACGCAGACATTACTACTGCAGTTTCCCAGGGTTCATGCTGGGGTCACAGAGAAGTGACAGCAATTCAGGAATTTGAGCTTTTTCAAAATGTCACATGATGTATTAGCCGAGGGAGTATAATTTGAGTGCCCTTTGTTTTGGCTTATCAGGCCCGCAGCAGTAACCTCAGATGGACTGGAAGGGAGGAGGGGGCCCAACGAGTCTGTGTGTAGGGTCGAGCGGCTCGGGGCCCCCCCAGCGCCAGGATTTTTTAAAGGAGCACTGAGGCAGTAAATAGCTGGGGAGGTTGGAGGTTTGCTCCCATGAACTAGTGATGCAGTGGCAGAACCAATGTCGGGGGTTTCTATGGGAGATCGCTGCATGGCCAGACATGGGAAGCATGTCGAGCTTTTGTGATTCTTTCCTATTAAACCCCAAACTCCATGTTAATTCCCCCAGCTGCTCTTTTTCAAACGGATTTACTGCATGTAGTAAAACTGAGATCGCACTGAGGTGTTTTGCAATGTACGTTTGTGCAGTACGTTTTTTTTGCAAGATCGAGAAACAGGTGCTGAGTTTATCGTCAGCCGTTTTCAGACATGAACTCCAGAGAATGTCAGCATTATTGGGTTTTGACATTTTCCGAAGTTTGCATTTTAGAATGCAGCAGGAGGTTGTCCAGAACATTCAGGTGAGGGGTGGTGCCTGCATGGAACATGGACGTATGCTGCGGTTTATTATTTTGATAATAATCTCATATATCTCCTGATAATTTTGGGAGATTATCCGTGGCGCAGGCCTGAAAGCAGCTGTAGAGGTACAGTGATATGGGTGTTTCCCTCTTATCTACCATGCAGCTCCTCATCTGTCCGAGCAGATGACAGGTAACAGATATATGACTGTGTGGATGAAAACCAATGTCGAGGTAGGAAACAAAAGTTTGCTCCAGGCTACAGGCGTGTGGCCTGAGTTGAGTGGAAAACAGATCTGGTTTGATTGTGTTCTTGCACACACGTGGTCAGGACAAAGTGAGCGACTGTGTGGCACCTCAGCCCAGCCGAGTCCGCCACGCCGCTCCCTTAATCGCGATTTATTGCTTCCTGAATCCTGCAAATGGGAGGCTGAGGACAACAGAATTCCAGACGCTGTTTTCTACCTCCTTCCCTGTCCGAATGCCCTCAGGGTCCTAAACACTCCTTAAATCTCTCTGCCATTAAGGCCCTCTCGCTTTCTCCGGCGTCTCCATTTGTTCCCGGCTTTCAGGCGTCTGATTCATGGGCACTTGAAGAGACTTATGTCTGAGAAAAGTTTACCGTGGTCGAAACCTTTGGAGCCACATACTCTAATGTAGATTAAAGTGTGTGATGTGTGAGGTGAGAGGACAAAGAAGCATGAAATGAGCCTGTTGAATCAAAAATCCGTAAAGAAGCAGTTCAAAGTGAATAAATGTGAAGCTTTAAGAAGAAATTTTAAAAAATCCAGAAACATCAGGAGTGTTTTCTTACTTAATATTTTAATAACACAGACAAACATAAAAATAATCAACAATATGAAGACAAACTTTTTTTTCCACAGCCGTTGTTTCTAGAATTTCTTATGAACATATTTACATTCACATTGATATTGACATAAATTCACATGACAAAAATGACAAACAGTAAAATGGCAGTGTACGCTCTTAAGACATAACGCTTCAGCACATCATGGTCATTTGGTATGAACCTCTTCCTCGTGTTGATATAGTGCACATCAGAAATGAAATTGTTTAACAGAGCAGTTGTATAAATGCATATGGAGCCTTGGGTAGAAATTCATTTTTCCACTGAATTTTTTTAATTCTTTCTTGCACATGGCATCAGATTTGTCTTCTAAAAGCTTGTTTTACTTAGAAAACGCCCCATAAAATATCCATAATGTCCAGCAATACATGACAGGAGAGAGCAGCGAATGACTTGACAACATCCAAACTTGCACCTGTTTTGGCAAGACTCCCGCAACCTGCATTTATTTTCAGTATTTGAACCCAAATAAAGTCTGATTTATTGAAATATTTTTAATTTTTTTGCCACTGAGCTGAAACATGTGACAACTTACAAAGGGAAGACTGCATCTTCCTTTCAGAAACAAAATCTCTGAGTTGGCCAGAAAATGAAAAGTGCTCTCAGCACTACATGGAGCTGTGGAACCTGCTCAGGTCGCCCCAGCTGTGTGTCACTAATGTACGTGCTCACACCATCTGTGCATATATTAAATTCTCAATCGCTCCGCTATGCTACATAAAGTTGCTTCTCTTATTTGGTTTTCAGTGCTTGCAGCATCACACTTTCCAGATCATTCCCTTTCCTTAATCAGTGCAAATATTCTTTTAACATTTACTGTTTTTTAATAATCTCCTTAATAATAGTAACACTGAGAATGACCCCATTAGAGGGGAAGTAATAAAAAACCAAATCACTGTCCTGTGATTGGACATTTTCAAACAGAAAAAACACTGCGGTAAAAAGGCAGCCATTTTGAAATCTTAGACCACAGCCTGCGGTGCATCCTCAACTACACGGCAGGAAACTTTCTGTTGAACTTCTCCTAAATGTTCCTGAGTTTCTGAGCTATGAGTCTGAAGAGGCCTGAATTAATGGCCTAACTTAATTTATCCCAAATGAGATTTTTCAAAGAGCTTTTTCAAAGACTTTCTCTGAAGCAGCATCACTGTTCATAAAACGATGCCAAATGCTTATAATCTCCATTTTCCACCATGTCACAGCTCCACTTGGTCTTCTGGACCAGGTGACTGTGTATTGCACTGAAATGATGTTGGAAAAGTCCATTTCACTCCTCAGTCCTTTGGGAATATCCGTCGGTGGCACCATGGCAACGTCGACAACGGTTGCGCGTTGGGGCTTCTTCCGAAACATGGAACAGGGCTGAGTTTGGCCTGGCTTCGAGTCCAGCCTGGTTCTGAGCCATAGACAAGCTACAACATGAGGTTGAACTCAGTCTATAGGCAGTTCACAGGGTATTTGCTGGGCTGCTTTGGCTATCGTGTACGCCTGCTGGAAGTCCTTGTAACGGGGAGCACAGCCCAGCCAGGCCTCGCCGAAGTGGACGCGACCCGTGAAGAGGAAGCTGCCGCGTCCCGGTTTGACGCCACACTGCATTAGAGTCCTGATCTCGCCTTTGCTGGTCAGGCGACTGTTGCCGGTGAACAGGGCGTACTTCTGGCGAAACACGCGAGTGGCGCTGACCTTGATCACTGCCGCCCGTAGGTTCTCATCTTCCTCCACTGACCAGATGTTACCACGCACCACTGTGGATTAAAAAAAAACAATCAGGTTACTTTCTGGTAAATTCCTGTGGTTATCTCCCAACATGCACCTTTGAATAATGTTATTATGACTGTTTGTGCCATCTAGAAAATGTTGCATTGACCTATTTGAGTTAGAGACTTTGTTTTCTGTGTGATACAGACGATAAAACTGTCTTAGGCCCAGGCCTGCTCACTAATCCCTCTAACTTTTGTTGCCAGCTGAACTTCTCCTCACTTCCAATACAGCTCAATCAGAGGCCTGCAGATTAGCCCACTGCTTATTCTCAGGGGATGCAGGGATTTCATTTGTAGATCCTGACTCAAATCATTTCGTTCTGTGGCTTTACCGCGGGGACTTCTTGACGTTTGGTGGTCCAGTTTAATATGTTAATCCTGTTTGAATTCATCATTTGATTTGCTGTGTTTTTGCTGGTTAGAAAGGTAACTCACCAAAGTCGCTGGTGCAAACAGCCATCAGAATCTCTGTGTTGTTGCAGGGTCTGCAGGCTTCTGGAGAGAAAACAGAAAATAGAGAGAAAATCAGTTAGTGACCTCACAACGCTCTGAACAACACCTACATGCTAATAGTTCTACTGAGGCTCTGGAAAACAGAGGCCGCATTTCCAGATCACATGCACAGGAATGTGAGATGTGAATCCCGACCTCAAACTCTGTGCAACAAAGGAGAGACCAACCACCGAGTCCTAACAGACAGCTGCTACTTTTACAGTTGGCAGAGGAGGAACCGGCAGAGTTTTAAGGTGGGAGGCTCGTCCACCGCAGACAATTTAAAGGCCAAATGAAACTTCCCCCCCTTTAAGCCTTTCAGGGTGTCTACAGTCACACCTCATCAAAGCCTTCACACGGGGGCAGAGGAGAGGGAGCAGGAGAGGACTTCAAAGATTTCAAGAAGGAGCAAAATCCCACTTCCCAGAAAATTCCTTGCCCCCCTTTCACCAAAGGCCTGATAAATTTTCTTTTAAAAAAACGGAGTGCAGCTTCCTGAAATTCACAGCAGGTTTTACAGATGGCCACAAAAAGATAAAAAAAAAAACAAGAGCCCAGTAAAGCTCTCGCTGTCTGTTTTGACTGAATTGTGGTGAGAAAAAAAAAAAGTCCTGGCATTTTTTAAAGTTCTCCTTGTGGTTCTTTGGAGGCCCTTTGCCCACCCCACACATTCTCCTCTTTAGTGAAAACCTCTTGATAAATGAGATTCCTTCCTCTCGAGTCCACAGCAAACCCCCTTCCAAACCTAATCAGTGTGTGTGTGTGTGTGTGTGACAGAGAGAGGGAGAGAGAGATGTGGGGGGGAGTGCACTGCTACAGACAAGTCTCCCCACAGAGAGGCAGCTCAACAAAAGAGGGGAGCATCTCAGCTGGGCAGAGGCCTCCCTGTCGCCTAGGAGACGGCAGTAATCCCAGAATACTCATGCGGCACCCATTCAAAGGGCTCTGGACTCTGGAGAAAGCCCCACATACTGTGCTTTTGTCCCCCCCCCCTCTCCTTCTCTGCACTCCACAGCTCCCCTTCTCCTGCTCAAAACCAGCACGCCTCTGGGGAAAAGTTTGGCCACTTCCTACGTGGGCCATGGAAAGTCCGAGCAGCCCACAGAGGACTGCTACGAATTATGAATCATCTACAGGAGAATTATACCGTGTATAATATATTCGCTTGTGGTGCAAAACCTTTAATCGCCACACATTTTCAGGAAGGGAGGAAAGGTTGTGACCTAAATTTGGTTGATTTTAAAGTTTTTTAATGAATTTGAAGTCTATGAATAAAGGAGAGAGTAACCTATATATAAGTGGCCAAAACTTCCATATTTTATTTCATTGGAAATTAGAAAAAAGTTAAGTAAAAATGTGACCATGCCTCCTTAGATTTGACCCTAAGAGGCCTCACTCAAACCAACATGGCTGACTCCTGCATCACTGCCTCACCTTCACTGCTGATGGTGTTGGAGTCCAGCGACAGCCGAGCGGTCCAGTCCCCCCTCAGCTCATAGCGAAAGGAGGCGGTCCTCCTGCTGATGTCCTGGTGGGGTGTAGCCTGCAGGAACAGCGCCACCCTCTCCCCGGGCAACCGGCTGAAGCACCGCACCCTGGGTGGGGGCGAGGACTCCAGGCGGTCCCCCACCAGCAGCTCCAGCACCCCGTCCCTCTCCAGGTAGAGCTGGGCCCCGTGGAACTGCTCTGAGGGCTTGACGCAGGCCGTGATGAGGCCCGAGCTGCTGCCGCCGGGCCCCACCGCCACGGAAGGCAGGCGCGGCGAGAGGCTGAGGCGCAGGGCACCTTTGGGATACAGCCAGTCCAGGGTGCCCTCAGAGCAGTGGAGGGAGATCTGCTCCACGCTGCCCTGCTGCTGGGACAAACCACTGTGGGGAGGAAGGAAGATGAAGATGAGTAAAGGTCGGACACACATCTAGTACACACATAATATCACTGCAGGGTTGGCAAAGAAGTTATAAAAGTGACATAGACAAGTAAAAATCCAGTTTTAGCAGAACTTCATCAGATTAGGGCCTATACAGAGCATGCGCCACCTACTGACAGGCCTGTGGAAACACTAGCCTTTAACTCAATCTTAACTAATTCATTTTTTTATGTTTTCTGCACGTTTCCCCAATGCACCAGGAGGAAGCTGCACCTCACAGCAGCATGCACGATGTGTGTTTCCTGCAAGTATCACTGTTAATCCCTCAGTCTCCTGCCTGTCTGGACCCTGCCTCCCTCCTGCAGACTGCCCGCAGGCGCAGCCGCTGCGCCGCGGAACTGCGCAAACATTTTAATTGCGCGCTAATGGCAAGTCTCAACATGTTGCATGCAGACGTGCATTGTCTTTTACAAATACACAAGCAAACACACAAACGCCTGCAGCATCCCCCAGCCTCATTTCTGCATCGCCTTCTCATTTAGCCACATGCAAAAAAACCCAGCACAGATGAAATTAGAAATACTTGCCTTCCTCTCCAGCTGCATTGGTCCTCGGAATAATTTGAAAGAGCAACATGAAAAATGGCAAAAAGTAAAATCCAAATTGCGTTAATCCAAATCCCTGAACCGCACATTTTCAACAGCGCTGGATGCAAAGTTTTTAAAAAAAAAGTCAGAGGGAGATTATTCCAATCCTCCAATCCTGTCAAATCCTAAAGTACGTTATAAAATGATTATTTTCCTGATTACGGTCACCTCCATGCTCCTGTATCTCCTCACCCTGCTGTGTGAGATAAGTGAACACCAGTGAACCGCCTCAGCTTCCCTCTCTGCTCCTCCGGGCTGCTGTGCGTCAGAGAGCGCACCAGCTCCGGAGTTTATTCCCCCTCAGAAAAACTTCAGCGACCAATCAGAGCGCGGGGAGAGAAACTTTAAACCACTCACACGGAGGAGGGGGAGGGACGTGATAAACCAATGTTACCATTCACTATTGTGTTGACATGTGTGCACAGAAATGACCAATTAACTTAACTCAGAATTAGAGTTTAAAGATCCGTCCCTCACTCCACAGTCCGCACATTCTAAGACATCAGAAAAGATTCTGCTTTGAGTAGTTATCTGAATCGGATGCAGTTTTTTTCCAACTAAAGAAAGTTTAAATACAACTTGTCCTTTTCTCTAATTCAAAGATCCAGGATGGAAACAGCCCTTTGCTCATAACTGCTGGTCACTTGATGTCTCCTGTTTAACTCATTTTCAACAGAGGCTTTACGTTTCCACAATACACTGATGTAAGTTTGGTGGTGGAGCAGGATTTGATGCCAATACCAATAATTGGGAACAAAAAATTCTGATGCCGATATATTGACTGAAATCTGTTATTATCATAAATAAACATAAACTGATTAAATTAAAAACACACAAATACAATCATATTGCCACATATGGGCAAAAACAAATGCATATATGCAGATGAGGCTCACATCAGTAGATTTATTATATTTGTATTATATTTATCAGCCAACTAATAAATTGTTCAGGTTTTACAAAATACTCATAAGTACTAGAGGATGGCACAGGGTTCAGTATTTTGTCTAAACCTAACTGAGCCCTAGAGAAAAGCAGCTGATCCAGACCCTAACCCAATTTAAAAAAGTGTTGTCCGAACCCAACGCGTCCTGACATGTCCCGCCAGGTTGAGTATCACACTCTATTATGTTCACATGTGAAGTGTGTTAAACTCAAATTTAAAATGAGGACACACGTTTCAGCAGGTGAATGTATGAAATCTGCCTTCTGGTGAGAAGAGGCAAAAAAGTAAGTTTTAGTTGTGGGAGAAAAACACCAATTAAAAGTGTGTTTGCTGCTTAGTCATGCAGAAATATCTTGGTTTTTCAAATTGTTCTTTAACTTTTCTTTCGTGCGCTTTCTGTTTAAGTCATGTTGGTTAGATTTAAAAACAGTCTTCATAATTGTTTTTCAAAAAAATGACCCAATTCCACTTGCTTATAAAAAACATCTGTCTCATTCCACAATAGTTACATGTATTTCAAAAGCTCCTGAAATGTAAGATAATGTTTTTATGTTGTTGAGACAACGTAAGAAGAAGAATAGACATGAAGCAGTAGTCACAGTTTTAAAACGCTGACCTGGTTGTCAGACCCAGCCGATATGATGATGGTGATGATGATGATGATGAAGATTTTGTCTCCTCTGGCTGCCGTGCCCTCTGCCCTTTTCCCCGCTGAGCTTCTCTTTCATGTCGTGGTATTTATAACCAAATCAAATATTCCTTTGTGCCAACACTGCCATGCATCTCCCAGAGTCAGTGACTTCTCAGTGTGTGTGTGGTTTTGCATGTGTGTGTGTGTGTGTGTGTGTGAGTCTAGGCCCCTGCGATGGAGTTATGACAAGAACTCAAACCGACACAAAGGCACATGTGCAGAAATCCAGCTGCTTCATTGTCTGCAGCAGCACAGATCATTGTTTTCTGCAGGGCTGGAGGAGGGGGGGGGTGGTTCTTTCTTTAAGTTAAACATGAATATATCAGTGGCCAAACTTAGTTATGGACTTCAGAGATGTGTCACCGCATCCATGCGTGCACAGTGGAGTCAAATGCACTTTTACACACTTTGTCAAAGCCGTCAGTGTGCATGTACTCACACGTGTCCACTAAAACAATAGCACACACTCTTTCTGACTGTGGCGTGACCTGAACTATAGTCTAACCCAGCCTGGATCATATTTAATGACTGCATGTGGGAGAGACAGACAGTCCAATAAATTCAGTGACTGTGTCATTACAAAGTTGATGTTTAAAGACCACTCTCGTGTTTGTACAGTAAATATGCAAACTATTCCTTTAACTTATATTCTGTCTCATCCACTGAGACATGTTGCTTAATATTTTTGTCTTTTCACTCCTGTACTTCTGCACTTCACTATTTCCATGCATCAGTCAACCCCCAGTGTCTCAGCTTTTGCCTTTGCCGATGCTGTTCTTTGCATTTTAACCAACACAAGCTTAAAGGGCCCATAGCTCTCCAATTCTTACCTCCTGCATTTTTGTCCCCCAGTTATATTTAGAATGGAGTCTTTTAATAACTTTTAAAACAGCATGGTCTGCTCCCCAGCCATATTATGGAGCTACTCACTCCCAATGTTCCACGTCATAATCTTATGATCTTAAGGCTGGTGACCAAAGTGAAATTTTAAACTCAAGAACTTTGCCCCGCAACTGGAAACCTTTGCAGGAACTCCTTGTGTTTCCACCACAGGGACAACGGTCTAAATAAAGTGATGAGTAAATGTTGTAAACTGGCTGACCAGGCTTTTACCATCAGGCCCCGAGGCTCTGGAACTCCTTGCCTGAGGAGTTAAGACCTGCCTTCATTATATTCATTAAAATATATTTTTATAGTCCAGCCTGTTAATGACTGACTTTTAACTGGCTTTAATTGTTTTTAATAGTTTCTTATATGTCATCTTTCTTATTCTTGTTTTTTTTATTGTTGTTCTGTTCGGTGTTGTTTTAACACAAATCTATTTTTAAAGCACTTCTTCTTCTGAGATGTTCTTTCCTCTCCATGATTTGTTTTTGATAAAATCATTTTATCTTTTAATTATAGATATTTATTTCATCTTCAGATCCTCATCCACCTTGTTAGTGTCCCAGGACTTTCACATCAGACTGTGCCCATGAAAAAAATCACAGAAATCACACATCAAACCTGCTTACAAACAGTGTTGCTGCTAAAGGTCAGTGTGAGTGTGTGAACCATCAGACCCGGTTGTTCCTACGTCTCCATCTTTGACCTCATACTTGAAGCACTGGAACAGATTCCCGTAAACTCTCTCTCTCTCTGTTTACCTTTGCATTCTCACCGGCCCGCCAATGAGAGCGTCTTCAAACGATGCTGCTGTACGCATACAAGAGTTTGCATGCATGTTAGTGGCTGTGTTTATTTACTTATATATACCCCTCTGTGTGTGTATGTGTGTGTGAACACAGAGAGGATGTAGCAACAGTGTGGTGTCACTGATATTTATGGAGCCTTGACATTGTGTGTTTCTCCCGCTGCCTCTTCTCGCTGTTTCACACACAAAGAGACTCTTTTCAAACATTTTCCCGTGTCTGCTCACATTGTTTTATACAAGGAAAAGAATTCAGAGATGTTTTAGATGCTGATTTTAGTTTGATTATACAGATTCATTGTATGATCTATTCAATGTTGATCTGTTCAATGTCACGTCAAACATGCAATTTTTATTGAATGGAATATATATTTCACTCATTTTTTAACAAGGCATTCCGATTATTCAATTTTATTTAATTGCTAAATTACATGTTTAAGTGTGCGTTGTCATTGTGGAACATTTGATAAAGCTCGATACCCCTACGTCCACTTTTGGGGGACCCATCATTGTAAGCCTCCTTCACCTCTCCCCTCTCTATTGTACTCCATTGGAGAGGTATGTGACAAGGTTCGGTTATTCACGTTTTTGTACGTTAGCCTCTCTGTTATTATGTTTGTAAGATTGCTATAACTTGTTTAAAGTTGTCATTTAATATGTTGCTTTATGCACATACGTACAAAATTGATCATAGGATTTTGTTTTAGGCTTATTTTTTTGTCCGAATAAACTGAGATCGCGTCCAAAGACGTTCATGTTCCGGCCCTTTCCATCAAATACATCACAACGCAGGCGTCGATGTAGGCCACTAGTTTCATAAATACCTCACAGAGCTCATAAAAAGAGATTTAACAAGCCTGACTGTGTTTAGAGTCTCAGTTTTAATAAAATATGTCTAGTGTGGCAGCTGCTTTATCTATCATCTGTCCATCCCAGCTGAAACACCAGAGCACGACCTGACCTGGGTTGAGAAGTCACGACGCCCTCGTTCCCAGACTCCTCTGCAGCTTCCCATGGCACCTCAGCGCTAATCCAGTTGATCTGACATCGCTGCTGTTTGTTTTCCTGCACAGTGTCATCTATCTGCTGGTAATGAGATCTAAGACCTTGACGGGAGACTCTGATGGTCAGCCTCGTCGTTCAGGGAAGGAGAGAATAGACCCTTCCCGCCACATGGATTGTGCCGTGTCTTCATGTTTGGTCTGGTTCGTTTGAGGACGGTCCTGGGAAATAATGATGAAGTGGCTGTGGAATCAGGATCACAAAACCTTGAATGAAGAATTTAGTGATAAAATATTGTTTCCATTTAGTTCTCAAGCTGAGAACATTGCAAAAGAAAACATACTCAGATTTTTTGGATTACTGTTTTACACCAAGGTGGCTCTTATTGCTTTGCAATGTCCTCACGTTACCTATAAACACAGTGTAACTTCAAGGTCCTGAAAGCATGATAAACTGGCTCAACACAACTAAAATGTAGTTGTGTTGAGCCAGTGGGAGAAATGTGATCGACACTTTCCCACCTCCCCAAGCAGGTGAAGAGGCTCCTGGTCGACTGGTGACCAGAGGCTGTGAGAAGAACCAACGCTACAAACTCGGAAAAGGAAAACAACCAAAAAAACTGCTGCATATTTACCCTGCGAGCCCCCATGAGAGCCACATGTGAAAACTGACACCTGCTCTCTCATTGCACTTTCTCAGGATCCTGGTTGTGTATGTGTTTGTTTGTATGACAGTAAATTTCGCTTTGTGCCTCTCATCTCAGTTCGTGTAGCTTGTGTGTGTGTGTGTGTGTGT